GACTCTGAAGAGCAGCAGAAGCTCAAGCGAAGGAAGCGCCCGGAACCCCAGACACAAAGCAAGAGGGGGAGGATCGAGGCATCAACCCACCAGCTACAGTAACACCGGTACGGCGTATGGAAAGAAGTGCACAAACGTGGAATGGAGCGGAGCCTAGCGCAACAATGATCAAGGTGAAGCATCCGTGGCCACTGAAAAAGAGAAGGGCGGACACAGATATTCTTGCTATCTGCAGAACCCTTGCCGATGTAAAAGTGTTTCTTAGAGAGCCCTCTTACTTTCAGAAGCTTCTTTCCACAGGCTTCCAGAGGCCACGGTCTTCGTAAGTTTGTTCTTTGCCTTGATAGACCTTCAGTTCCGGTTCTCCGAATTTGGCGTCAGCTGTTGCACCTTCGGATAGCACAAATCACAAATGTGCAACATATCATGTAGCATCATGCTATGTGCATTGCGCAGGCGTGGTTGTCTTGCGCGTGTTGGTTGTGACACCAGCATCTTGGCCCTCGGTTAGTTTGCTGAGATGTCAAGTTCAAGTTTGTCTTGTCACTCCCGACGCATTTCTCCCTTGTATAGCCACGAGTAGTTCTTTTGAAGCTTGGTCTGTTTTTTTGGTTAGAGAGCTGCGAGTTCTGTTGTCGATGATTGAAGAAACATGAGTATATATTTGCACTGCACATGTGGGTTGAGATTGGGGTTCCGTGTCGTCATATTATGTGTACCTCAGCCAGCGGATTGTGCCTACACAGAGTTCATATAGCCTCGAGGTTGCAGTGAGCTTGCTGACGCGGAGCTGGTGGAAGACCATCGAGAGGACAAGCAACTGCAGGCTGCCGGACATGCCGGTTGAGAGCTCTCCTGAGCGATGGAGCTATACTTTGCCCAAGCTAGAGATAGGTGCCGGCCGCTATGAAGAGGGCAAGTGAAAGCAAGGCTTGCATGCTGCTTGGGGTCCCAGAAAATAAATCATGGAGGCGCCTTCAATGGTGAGTGACAAGCATTCAAAAATATTGAGCATTTTCGGAAGATCAGACGAAACATGCAGGATTGCCATCCTTGCTCGCTTTTCTGTTTTTTTTCGTGCCCGCGCAGACTCTGCACGCTTCACGCGTTAACTTCGGCCCTGTGGCGTGGCTAACATCCACAGACCTCCAAACCTGGCTGGTGACAGCGACATTGCGACGCTTGAGTTCTTTGGCGTGGCCTTGATAGAGTTGGTGAACTGCACCGCCAATACTTGCCACCCCCCCCCGCTAAAGCCGGCAGCTTGAAATGGCAAAACAGAAGGTGATCAGCTGCCCACTTGGAATTTGCATTCCGCCCAAGTCCCTTTTCAGGACATTCGAATGATCTACCCCAGTTCGGTGGCATCCGTTGGCCTTTTGGTGGCTCGCGACCCAAAAACGAGCACCCCCCCCAAGAATGGATTTCTTCTTCTACCCTTCGGGTTACACAGCCGGGCGGAATGAACTGGTATGTGTCTAAACTTGTCTTTTGGTATGCCTTTAGACCAATCTCAAAAAGGGTACCCTCAAAATACAATTCAACTTGCAGGAGGTACCTTGTTTGTGATCAGTTTTTGAAAGGATGCGAGAGACTTGCCACGCATCGCTAGCCTTTGGAAAAAACAGGTTCTTGCAACAGGCACCTCCTGCAAGTTGTTTTGTATTCTTGAGGGTGCCCTTGTTAAGGTTGGTTTAAAGGCATATATTTGGAAACCGGTAAGACATGATGTGTGCAGTTTCGAAGATGCTGAATTGGGATCAGCAGCACAGGGTCACATCTGGAAGCAAGTTGAGGCAGACGCAACATGCACACTTCGAGCAACCATGAACGCGCGTGAACATGTGCGAACATGTTTGTCATTGTTTGTGTCTATTCCTCAAGCAATTGTGGGGCGCGTTTTAGGAACGACGTGTGTCTGTGTGTGTGTGTGGGTGTGGGTATGTGCGGGTTATGCAGTCAAATTGAGAAGGATGAGAAAGAGTGTATATACAAATTAAGGTTCTGTGCGGCGTACTTGAAAACTAATGGCAACATACATACATTGTTCAGACATTGAATCACCGCGCAGTTGTTGATCGAATCAGAGGGGCACTCGACGAGCAATTGACACCCTTATGCCTTATCCTACATGTAAAGCAATGTGAAACATGGAGCCGTCCTATAAGATGCAATTGTTGCGCTCCCTGAGAACGCAAGTGGGTGCCAATGGTTTGGTGCTGAAAGGATGGGAACCTTTGAATGCTATAACTTTGTGTTGAGAAGGCTGGATTTTAGATAATTCAGAGGTATGAACTTGAGAGGGAGCCGTGTGGTTTTGAGAGCTTACTTTGTCCGAATGGTACATGTCCCCGAATTGTGTTTCTCGGAGGCGCGGAAAGAAGTGGAAGAGGCAGACCGGCACGACAGTCGGGCTGCCGTACGGGCGCGGCGCTGGGAAGGATGAAACCCCGGGCCTATTTTTGGACAACCGGGCCGTTTCATGAAGGGCAGACTCCTTCTTTTCCGCTAGTTCGATTCCGGGTCGACAGCTATAGCAGGTCTTAGGCTCACGAGCAAATGGGTGTGTCAATTTGCTCAGTGTACTGTGTGAGCTTACTTTAAACGGACACCAAAGGGAAACCATTCATTTTGAGGGGTTGCTTATTGGCAGACACATGCACATGCTTCTCAAGTCACATGATCACATGTTTGCCTGACTTCCAGTGCCTTGATGAAGCTGAAAGCTTGCAGAAACGAGACGCACTTCGCAAGGTTGTCGTACAGGGTCAGGCCGAAAGGCAAAAGAAGGTCTCCAAACACGATGCTGAGTGACAGGTTGACCACATGAATGAGTCCCAGAGGACTGAGTTGGCGAGTCCTTTGATCGTGTAGACATGTAGGAGGCTGAAAGATGCGCTTAGTTGTTTGTTGCACTTTTTCATGCAAACTCACCTTGACCCAGGATGGAGGCACTCGGCAATTGGTCCCATGGATGTGATTCTACCTTTCTGATCTTTGCACAACAGGCAGACAGAAGAATACAATAGATAGTTGATTGTGGTGTGGTTTTTGGTGATGACGGTGCTCAGTTCCTTCAATCTGTTTTAGATACTTCCAAGCTAACACACATCCGGCGCTTCAGCCTCTAGAGCATGGTGCACAAACGCATGACTTGCACGTGTGCACGACACGTGCGAGCATAGATTTAGGACTCCATTTTCGCCTGTACCCCTGGATGCTGGTGATGCAGCCAGTCCAAGAGATCAAGTCGAGCATCTGATGCAGAAACGTGGCTTTGCATAGGGTTTACTAGGCTTGCTGCTCGCCGACAAGCATGTGCCAAGCTGTAAGAGCCACACAAATGAGATGCATGTCTTGGTCACGGAACACCGTACGCGCGCCGAATGCGCTTCCCTGGGTATCTTAAAAATAGCAGACCCTCGAGAAAGACACCCGTGTGTTCGCTGCTCCGTCCCAACTTTCTTTTGGCGAAGGGCCAGTAACTTGTGATAAAGACAATCCCAGCGACCTGAGAACACCCCGTTGACCTTGACAAAGCGCAGGTTGCTTGCAGCAAACACTTTGTTTGGAGTTCCAGACCCGAAGAAAAACCTGCCATGTTTTGTGCCTTATCCCAGAGTGCATCTGGCAAAGAATGACCAAGGCACCACTTGCATCATACAAAGGCAGGGATGCTGGGGATGCACAGAGGCCGCAGTCAGCTTTTGGCACATTTTTCTGCATCAGACTGCATTTTGGCGCACAGATTTGAACATAACACATGCATCCGGCGCAGATGATGCTGGTGATGCTGGCAATGCTGAGTTGTAGACGGAATAGACATAGATCGGAGTCCGGAGGGACATTTTGCAGCTCCGGAGACCTGGAAAGCCACAAATTGCCAAACAACAGCTAAATCGATATTGCAGACTGATGATGCCAGGGATGCAAAACCTGGCCTGCTGCAGGCAAATGCCAAGTTTTTGCAGCCAAGGCAAGACAACATGGGGCAGGCATCGACGTTATGTTGCACGTAGACACATGAAATGCATGTATTCACTCGCTCAACTCACTCAGCCCTTTGTCGCTGCTTGCGATGCAGGAACGCCATTCACGCCTCTTTGCGCCAGACATGCACGGTGGCGGCCCAAGAACCCAAGTTTTTGCCTACAAGCAGGAGGCACACTGAACGGCATCTACAAGTTTACGTTCTCTGCCAGTTCTCACAGCGGATTGGTGCATGGCATCATGAACTTTGCCTTTGGTTCGGCTACCCAATCAAGTCCACTTGATGAGTGAGCTTGTAAAGAAGAAAATGATAGATAAAGAGCCTACTGACCATCCCCTGTGCAACAAGGATGCACACATCGGTATCACAGGTGTCACAGCCTCTTTAAGAGCGGAGCAACTTTTAGGTCAGCTTCAACTCGCAAAATAGATACATGGACGAAGCAATACATTAACTTGCTGATGCGAGAGATGCAGGGAATGCGAATTGGAATGACCCCGAGACAAACCATCCAACTGGTGCGCGGGGACCCCTACGTTCATTCCCACATTCCCTACCTTTCGCACCAGCAAGTTGTTACATTTGACTGCCACTTAGGCCATGAACCCGAGGCGTTTCTCGTTGAGCCTCAGCTGAGGTGGTTCAGGGCCCGCCAGGCACTGGGAAGACGAGCGCCTCAGCCAAAGCACGGGCCTTCCGCAGGCCTCGTTCTGCGAGAGTTTGGTGAACCCTTCGGCCTCCAAATGACCATGTTTCGTATTGTTTCCCCTTTTTAGTGGTTGAAAGATCAGCTTTTTCGCGGTTTTCCAACTTAATGGTCATCCCATGTTTACCGGACCATTTGATCAACCCCCATTTAGCTGACTCGCAGGCCATCGGAGATTGCTTGAGATGTGGAGTGGATGTTTGGAAACGAATAACTGCCTTGCCTTGAGGTCCCGGTTGACGTGGTTCAAGCCTGGCTTGGGTTTATCTAAGGTGTCTCCGTGGAGATCCTGCACTTTTGGGCCAAGGCCGGGCTCGTTTGAACCTGCCTGGATGCCATGTCGTTCTAAGCCGTGAAGATATGGCTCGCAGTGGTTCAAGCCTCCCACTCAAATAAAATTCCAGCTGCAACTGAGCTAGCTCCACGCTTCGTGCCGCTTGGAAACCATATTGTGTTACGCAACCACCGAATCGAGAAAGGCAAAAACGGTTTGAGGGTGTGAACTTGAATGCAAGGTCAGGGATATGGGGAGTTTTACATGTCCCACACAGCGAAGGGCTCAATTTGGGCAAGGAGTCCCGGGCGATTCTTCGAGCTTCTCAATGCTTTTATGCAGCTTTTCCAGGGCCCGCAGTACGACACACATATGAATGGGTAACTAACTCCACAGTGGTTGGTGGTCGTGAATCCCCACCTAAATGATGTACACCAAAGGGTCGCCCATAAAAGCACTCCCATACTTCATCATGACTCGAAAGAAAACCTGGCATTGACCAACTCTACGAAAGCTCATCTTCAGTTCGCTGCGTTGCTGCGCGCCTGAAATGCCACAGAGTCTCGCAAGCGCGACAGGCACTTGTTTGTGCAGGCAGAACCCTGCAGTTGAGGCCCCTCTCTGAATACACAGGCAGCTCACTTTTGTTGTACCAGCCAACAAGTTGCGACCCTGCAGACTGCACTCTGTCTCGGATTTGATGAGTCACCATTCTCCATGTGGGTGTGTCTTTCTTTAGGGGCTTTCATCCCAGTACCTATGAGTGAAGCATTACAGACCCTTCTCTCCCATCTCTTCTTCGAGTCCCCGGCCTCCATTCCTACGTCAAGACAAGTCATTACAGCTGAGAACCTAGAATGAGGAAATGGGATTAGCAACAGGAAAAGGAGGCAAAGAGAATCTGTTATTCCAGAAGGGACTGGATGAGAATAGTTATGAAGAGTAGGAATGCCAATTAACGACCGCAGGGACGACTCAAGGCATATCAGCTTCGCCCACCCTCTCTTTCCCGATCAACCAAAATGATGGTTTCCTTTTGGCTTCTCCTCAAAATTCACCAAAAGAGGTGGTACCTTCAAAAAGAGACAGCCCCATATCTTCCTTTCCCCGAACACTCCGGGATTTCACCGTTTTGTCCTCCCCATTTTTTCACCAGAAACCCTCGGCTTCTAACGCCAGGCGTTACGCCTCACTCCTGTGTTGGCCACCTCGGACAGCAATGCCGGAACCTTGGACTGGGATTTGATTTTCGGGTTCTTGACGGATGAGCAAACCCCAACCTTCAAAGCAAGCCACAAGATTTGTTTTTGTATTTTTCTGGGAAGCTGATGTTGGGGTTGGCTTAATGGAAACCAAAGGGACACCTCACTTACCCACTTACCCACTGGCGTATACGCTTTGTTCTGGCAATCTTCAGTATGTCAGTTTGTCAGAGTCAGATGGAACAAGGGCACACGATCCTGACTCCATTGGTTTCCAGGTGATAAGCCGGAATATTGTACAGCTACACCTTGGAATGGATCAGCACTTGACTTCGCGAAGTCAAACTCACCAAAGCCGCTATTGTCCGGGCCAAGATACAGCAAATCGTTGTGTTGCACGCCCGGCATTGGGTTAGCAAGAAGCAGTCTAGTGGTTTGTTGCTGAGCGGCTCTCGCATCGGCGTGTGCGTTACGCTGACCAGCCACAGTTTTTCAATATGATATCTTCCAAACGCGGGTTCCTAAGTATACGGCTCGGGTTCCGCTTGGCAACAGGTTGACTAGTTTTGTATGCAAGGTTGCCACTTGCAGGCAATAGGTCGGGCAAGGATTTGGTAGTGACTGGGGCTGTGTCTTTTCAAGGCTACCTTTTGAAGGTTGGTTTGAAAGGAAACCGACGGGAAACCAATCAGTTGTGGCAGTGTCAGGTCGCAGTGGACAACATCTGCGAAGGTCTCAGGGCCAGAGGAGTAAAGGCAGCCCGCGAGTCAGACGGGTTTTGCCATGCGAGTGGAATGAGCAGCTTGTGAGTCGCTGATTGTTCCGCGTTTGGTCATAGCGCATGTTGCAGGGAAGTTATGTGCCTTTGCTCCTGCGGATTGTTTCTACCGTTGTGACACATGTAACAGCACGTCTTAAGTGCGTTCAGATTTGTGCCGTCAATAAGTAGCAAGCAGCATGGGAAGGCCATCCCATCTCCTTTAAAGTTCTCCGCACAATGGTCAAGGCTGATCTTGCCACCCGTTTCAGACAGCCTCAGCAAGGTAAGCAAGGCAGACATTGATTGCCGAACGTACGGTTTTGCGACTGAGTGGTTTACACTCGCTCCATTGCCTCACCTTTGTGTTGTCATCATGTTTCAAGTTCGTGCTCAGTGGGGAAAAAGAAGTGCAGTCGGCAACGATTTTTAGACCCCGCCACCCACCCCCGCATCTTTGCCCGAGGACGATCAAAGAAAAGGCCTCAACACGGGGCCGTTTGGGATCACTTTGATGGGCGCTAAAAATAGTTTGGGCGGGTTCCCTTTGAACCACCATTCAGAGGGTCTATGTTTAGGGATGTCACCTGAATGGGCCGAGTCAATACGCTTTCTCTCGCTCTGCAGGCGGTGCGTGTAGGCCGACCTGAGAAAGTGCGGAGCGTCATCGAGGACATGACACTTGAGGCTCGAATTGGTTCCTTCGGTTGCTTGCGGGTTTGCTGAATCTGGCGACATCAGGTGGTTGATGTCTTTTTTGGTTTCTGGTGAAGGGATCCCTATTTTGAGAAATGCCCATGCTTCCCCGGAACCAAATGGGTGTTGAAGAAGCCCTCCTCAGGTGTTGTTTTAAAGGGAACACCAAAAATAATAACATGTTCGGGGGGGTACCGGCACGGAGGCCAGTCGCACAGCGCCATGCAAGACAAGTCCAGCGCATGAAAGGCCGCGTGAACTGGTAGTATTCCGTATTCAACATGCACAATCATGCAAAGCCTTTCCTTAAAAACTCCCACTATGTTGGTTACGCTGAACTTCTGAATGGAGCGCACCGAAGACCTAGGCTATCCTCTCAACCAGACCACAACTCGGTGCTTGTAGCACTCATTCCTTGGGTTGCATCAAGTCACCATGGTGTTTTGACTGTTCTTTGGCTGGCGTTGGATGTTCGCACAGGCCCCAGCTTTCCTCAGATGCTAAGGCTCGTATTTGATACGACGCAAAGCGCAGCGACGTCTTTTGGTTCGAGTGAATCAGCGATTTCCGGGGATTTTCGGCTGGTCAGGCGGAGCTGAAGCGCCTCAAAGCGCGGAACTCGGTGCGCGTAGCTTTGGGTTCGTCTCAGGGGTGAGCAAAGAATGGTGATGTTCCTTGGTTTTCCTCTAACAAGGCAGCCTCAAACACATGGTCCGTGGAGATCCCTCTCAGTTGATTCCGTGGAATCGGAAGCTGGGTTCTGATTGCCAAGGAAGCGGAAAGAGAGCGAGGGGAGGATGACGAGGAGTGTGCAATCAATCGTCGGCCATCTTGCATGAGCTGCGAAAGACCGATTTCATCAGATCACATGGCTCATGCCAGTTGTGAGTGCCATTCTTTGTACGTCATGAACACTCCTCAGCGGCCGATGAAGTAGTATTCTGCTGGCACAACAAACAATCTAAAGGCAGCTGTTCACCTTGAAGTACTTTGGCACCGTTGATACACGTCAACACTCATTTTGAGTTTGTCTCATGTCATTGAGTCATGTTTTGGCGAGCTGGCCACGCTTGTGCTAATGTGTTAGAGCACATCGAATCCCTTGTGCAGACTGCCTCAAGAAAGCTCCGAACCCGGCATGACACATTTCGCTATGCTTGGGCCCTTACTTGCACATACACTCACCCAGGCACAGACTTGGACACGGACACGTACGCACACACAGGACACACACACACACACTTGCTCACACCCAAAGAATGTTCCAAGTCCAATGCATCAATGTTGCCTGCTGCTTCCCTGCCAAGCTTGAAGGCTTTCACCTGATAAACAGCCGCCTGAGCTGCCCGCGCAGCTTCCGTGCTGCATATAGCCCAATGTTCGATCAGGTTCATTCAGCCGAATATGAATCTTTTAGGGTAATCAACCCTGTTTGTTGGTTTTCAAGGGAAACCATCAGGAAAACCACCATGTTGGGGTCCCCTAGAAAAGACACACCCACATCTTCAGATCACGAAGCTACCAGAGGCCGAATGGTGTCCGTCCGGGCAATTACGAGATTCCCTGACCATTCCAAAAAGATCCGATTGTGAACCCTGAGTAGGGCTTCGTCCTCCCGGAGTTTCCCACCCACGCGCTTCAGAGGTGTCAAAAGTGAGACACCAAAATTCCATTGGGACCTGGGTATAGCAATTTGCCTTATGGGTATGGGTCAAACTTGAACCACCAAACCGGTGTTAGTCCTTGCCATCTACCAGGGCAACCCATTTTGGGGGTGCGCAATTTTTGACCCGCAGCCAGATCAAGCCACGGTTTGCTTGGGATTAGGAGAGCAAAGGCTCCGCTGGCACCTTCCCAGGCGCGCTGGACAAAGCGGGGAAGTGGATAGTGTCCATTATGTGAGGCTTGGTCTCCAAAAGTTCTCTGATTTGTGGTACTGCTAAATTTCCATTGTCCTCTTGGGGCAACAAGTGCATCTGTGGGATGCGGTAACAAGCAATTTTGATTTCTCCTGGCAACACGCGGCCAATGTCAGCAGATGGCGAGGGATGGACTTATTTGCGAAGTGGTCGGGAGGATTCGTTTAGAGGCCAACTGGGGTGTGAGACGAATCGGTTTGCGCATTGCCGTTGTCAAAAGGTCAGCAAGCCAATGTGTTGTTGTTGTTTTTTTTTTGTGTGTGTGTGTTCCTTTGTTTCTCTCTCGAGGGCAACCTTGTCACCTGGGCTTAACGTTGCAAACAACTAGGACGACCATTTTGGAGTCCCAACTTTTGACGAAGAAATGGAAGAGCTGTTGCAAAGCCCTGCAATCTCAATGCCAGGCAAGGGTGGAAAGAGTGGAGGCAGGCAGAAAGCTGGAGATTTGTCCATATCAGAACGTATGAGGGCTTGATTCAATGCAGCCCTGGTGTCAAACCATAACTATTAGTTTTTTGAATCCAGGCACACTGTAATTATGTTCCGTTGTGATTTTGTTGAGGCTCAGGCTATGCTCGAACGGAGATCAACCATACTGATAGCTCGGGCGTCAGCCATGAAAGATTCCTAATTACATCACGGTGAATTGATTTCCGACTGCATGTGAATATGCACATGCTTGTACAAACTACAGTAGGAATCAAACACGCAATGTTCTGTATTTTAGCGGCATCCTGGGGCAGCTGGTGACAACTCAACACAATGGACGATGAACAGGCATGACGTGTCTTGCTACAACAAATGAGAGATGCATAGTTGCAAGTGTCGCAGATTATAATATGTTGAAGATCCAATATTGCTGGCGCCGTTGTTTTCATCAATGTGCGGGAAACGTGCCTGCTTTTCCAAGGAATTGCTCTCTTTGGCCTTACACACCATTCACGCACCGTAGCCTAAGTTACTCAAGTATAGCTGTGTGGTTTGGGGTCTTTAGTGAGAGAGCCCTGAACGGGGACGCCGCAACTGGTTTGGATTTCAGGCAGACTCAGGTGGAAACAAAACAGCCCAAACCAGCCTGATCAACCGCATCTGCTGAGAGGTGAGCGCCAACCAAAATTGAATACCGTTCGAACTTGCCCTCGAAACGCGATCCCCCGTTAAGGGCTGCCAAGTTTAGAACGACAGACCGGTGGTACATTGAGTTCTTGGGCTTGATGCCAGGATGCGTGGGCGGTAGCAACTTGCAGTCAGAGCAAAGGTTCGCTTGAACACGCTAGCATGCTCAACCTTTGGGACAAGTTAGGTATACCTCCAAGCGAAAATCAACATTTTTACCGGGATCCAGCGAAGCAAACCCAGAGAGGCAATAGTAAGAGGACTCAAGCGAACTTAATAGACCCAATGAGTGGTTGGCACAAGCTTGGCTGTGCCAAACATGTCAAGACAGTCCTACGCGAGCTGTGTCGGCCCACCATGTGTTCAATGTGGGGTTAAGGCTGCCTCGAATTCAATTTCTACAGATTCAGTAGCTGGATGTCACAATCAGATGCTGGCAGGTAAGTTCGGCAAGGGCAAGTTCGGAGGCAAAGGCGGCAGCCTCAGCCCAAGGAAATTCCTTTGGGGGCACCGGTCGACAGTCAACCAGCGAACCGCCTTCCATGCTGCTTCTGTGTGAGCTTTGGGCCGCAAGCATTTAGCCTCAGCTGCCGTAGGGTTTCAGTGACTCCCACGATATCCCACCATGGCGAATCTCGAGCCCGAGTCGGAGAAGGTGGCTGCCCCGGCTGAGGAGGAAGAAAGCTTCGGAGGCTGTGACGCGTGCTCAGGGGTGCGTTGCACCCCGGAGGGGCTGGTTGGGGCCAAGTCCTATGACTGGAAGTGCCATGGCGCAGAACTTCAGGAATGTTCCAAAATATATGTGTGTGTGTCTGCAAAAAAGGAGACCAGAGAGTTGTTTTGTTGTTTTTTGGAGTGTCTCGAACTTTGTTTGTTGTTTAATTTAGCCGGACATTGGCCTTGCAACCAGTTGCCGGACGTGCCAAGGTTCCTTTGCACTCCGTCCATCCCGTGCTTGGTGAAAGAAACGAAGGCTCCTCCCCTTCTGAAGCCATCAACGAAGCTGCCGCTGCTGGTGGCCATCATCATGGGCTTCTTGAATCGAACCCGTCGAACGCGTCGGATTCTCCGTGGCCTTTGTAAACAAAGCGAGATGCGGTTCATGTTTGTGTTGCTATCCCCCTTGGCCACTTGCTCATCGTCACGGAATATGGTTTTGTTGGCTTTTGCACATTTTTGCACTGGCTGCGGGCTCTTGCTCATGAGCATACTGAATCTCTTTTTGTGAACATGCATTCCGAAAGCAAGGGCTCAATCACGCCAGAAACGGACGACCATTGAGGTTTGCAGCACTCCCTGGCGATGCTTGGGGGCATCATCACTCCGCCCTCCCTCATCGCGGGGGACGCCTGCTTTGCGGGTGACACCGAGCTTTGCGGGAGTCGGCAATACATGATCTCCGCGGCCCTCATCGCCTCCGGAGCCCTGGGCCAAATGCAAAAATTATGCTGGGCGTGTTTGATGTCGTGTTGTTTTTTTTAGGTGATATCGGGATTCGAATCCGCACCGACTCAAACTACTATTGAACCACGGAAATAGCTGTGCACGACCAAGTGATGGGATTTTAAAGCTCACTCAAACCACCAAAGAGTTACGGCTTTCTCACCCAACCGGAGTGGCAAGGATTGCTGTCTCTGGTGCAGATCCTTCGTTTCAAGCTCTGCGGGGGCTACACCCTAGGCCAGCGTGACTGAAAGGTGTTGGCTGGCTTTGCTTGGCCTTCGGCAACTTTGTTTTTCTTTGGCTCGCATTGAATCTGAGGCCCAGTGATGTTTGTTGGGTGCTTTGGGTTGAAAAAAAGTGGTTGCCTTTGCAGCAGCATGCTCACGAGACGTGGACCCTGGGATGGATCTCGCCTTCTGAAGCTCCGGAGGCACTGGGCTGATCTCGGTGATGGGCACTTCCTTCACCTTCCTGCCCATCGCTCGGGAGGCGCGGGGGTGGCAGAAGGTACCAAATATTTAAGACCAACCAATGCCCCCCCAAAAAAAACAAAACAAATGGTAGTATGAAGAGGGCCCACCTTTTCCCGTTGAAGGGGAGGCCAATTCTCCCATGAAAAAAAGCAGTACGAAGAGGGCCCACCTTTTTCACGGAGACGGCCCAACCCTTGACTCGGTCTTCAGACGAATTGGTCTCTTCTGAGGTGGTGAGCTCGGAGATCCGCGCCGGCACCCCGGGCAAGGAGGCCTACGGCAAGTTCCTGGGCACCTGCCCTTCGGCAGCCCAAAGCCGTCGACCAAAAAAACACCGTCGGAGGCCCCGTTCCGGGGGAAAAAATATACTTTTTTTCTTACCTCAAGAGGCAGTGGACATTGGAATCCCAACCCGGGACCTCTGGTTAAAATCTTAGGTTCCTCATTGCTCCGGTCAAGGTTTGGCAGCATTTAAGATGTCTTTGCCCTTTCAATGATGGTACAATTTCAGAAGAAGGGTTGATTGTTGGGAACTGCGCATTTGATGTCAGGTTGTCCCTTCAAGATCACCTTGTTGCAATATGTTGCAATCATGCTCAGTTGCCCTTTAATCAAAAATGCAGGAATCCTGAATGAACCGGGGCCTCTGTTTTTTTTTTTCTATTTGGATTGATGCTCTTTGAGGTCTGGTGGCGTCTATCACCGAGATTTTGATCTCTTTCGTGCCGCCGCGGCACTTGAAGAAGCTGTTCCCCCCGGTGGTCTCGGGGACTTGCGTCACGCTGATCGGGGCGGGCCTGATCGGCTCCGGGCTGAACCCTGGCAGCAAGAGTTGGGGTCGGTACAGTACCAGAAAGATGGAGGGTGTGCTGGATTGTTTGCTGGGTGTCCCATAGAAATCCGTCAGCTTTCATTAGTGGGTTAATATTCCCTTAAGGGTTCTGTTTGGCGTGGTTTCCTTGGCTTTGACCGCTGCTCAAGCTGCCCGGACAGGGCAACAGATGTGCATTTTGACGGGGCTCTTTGGGAACCAATCACACGTCTCCAGCCAATTCATCAGCGCAACAAGAGACGGCGCATGGGCGCAAACATGGTCGCCGCTATGCGAGGTTGGCCGAACCCCCTCCTCCACCATCGTTTAAGCCACCAATCCAACCCACAAATAGGGAAGCTGATATGAGGTGGCAAAGTCAAGCTCGCTGAGGAAGTACTGGGGCGGTGGCGTCTTCTGTGCGGAGAACGACATGTCCCGGGCCGCAGCCTTCGGTGGGCCGCAGATGTGCACCGGCAACGGAGACGTGGTTTTGGCCTATGGCGCCCCGCAGTACTTCGGACTAGGCGGGGCTCAAGTGTCGTGTTTGGGTGCTGGGAACGCGAACTGGCCAGTTTGGGGACTTGTAATCTCTGGGCCGCTGTTTGGGCATCCGCTCAAGCGGTGTGGTCTCTTCAGAGGGCCCTAGAGTTTGCTCATGTTCTTGCAAGCGCAAGCGCCACCAAGGTTTCGCTGGAGCACGTGTCCGTTTTTCCCACTTCCAAACACGAGTCGAGTCTTACAGAAGCTGAGTGCCATGTGCCCATGGCCCGGCAGAAGCGCACGCGCGCCCCACGCGCGCGCAGGCTTTAGCGTGGTCACCTTCCTGGTCTTGATCCAGGCTCTTGGCTCGCCCTTTCTGAAGAGCCCCGGCAGCTTCGAGGGTTAAGGCAGTCCTTAGCTTTGGTTAGACATAGACCAGGGCCATGTGAAGATTTGGCTACAAGGTCACGGGAGAGTCAGAGACCAGGGCTATGTGAAGATTTCTCCAAAGACGGTCACCTATGGTTGAGTCATGGGTACGCCGCCCTTGCCGGCATGATGTTGCGTTTGATACGAATGACTCCTTGCATGCCCGCCGTTCGGGTGAGCATGTCCGGGGCTAAGCCAAGCTTTCGGGTTGCGCTGAGAAGACGCGGAAAGTGGGTTGCCCTTCGTTTCAAGATGAGTTCAGCAGGCGTTGTTGTTTAGTGTTAGAAGCGGTGTGTTCTCATCCACCAGATAAATCTAACAATGCCATTTTAGATTATTTGTGTTGTATATACCTGGAACCTCCGTCCGGCCAAAATTTCAGCCGCTTTGCGTTCAGCAATAATTTCAGCCGCAAGCAGAAACAATCGCCGGCAGCTCTGAAAAACGCCGGCAGCCAGAAAAAACAGCCGCAAAGCCTGGTCTAGCACATCCTAAACTGCACCAAGCACTTGCTCCCACAATGCAAAACCAACTGGCATGTCTTTGATTTGCTCACAAACGCTGCTGAAAGTTATGAAGATGGACACTGGGCACGCAGCAACGACTCCACCCATCCAGAGAACAATGCACAGGCCGGAAATGGCAAGCACTTGCACATCAATAGACGAGCTTTGACACGCTTGGTGCCCGCAACTACATAGCCAACTGCATGCATCATGATTTCTGCTGGCAATGCATTTGTGACCAGACGTGCTTTGCACAGTGATGCTAATAACAGCACGAATCGAAGATAAGGAGATCAAGCGTCAAGCAGCGCAATCAAAGGCCCTGAGAACATCCACTCTTTGGACGCGTGTTTCCGCCGTAATCCCGCGTGTTTCCGCCGTAGCCCGAAACACCAACAAAATACAAAACCGTCTATTAAACTGTGCATGCAGGAGAAAAACTGATTCCTGTATTTTGGGGCAACCAGCCCCTTTGAAGCCAGAAGCAGTGGAGACAAAGAGGGCTGCGTACTCGCCACACGCATCGAACAAACATGATTCATACACCCGGGCTGCGTCATGCCAGGCATGCGCAGGTACTGCGGTGGCTGCAAGTTGCAAAAGGCTGCTTTGTGGCTGCATATATTGAATATAATGAGACAAATGGCGGTTTGCAGAATCAACGCTTGTCACATTGGCGCATGTGCATGGGTCAAAACAAAAGTTGTGGCAGCAATGCTCTTTAAGGCTGCGTGTGAGAAACGCCGCCGGAAAAGCAAAAACGCCGCGCGATTTTTGGGAGATCCCAATTTCCGCCGGCGGACGCAAAAAGGTGCCTTTTTGAGTCCGCGGCTGAAATTTTGGCCGGAAGGAGTTTCCAGGTATATATATATATATATATGGTTCCAGCCGCTTCCGGAGCCATCCCACCCCGTCGCAGCCTGCCCAGCAGCAGCTTGGATGTATATAACAACAGGTGTGCCGTAGTATGTCCATGTCAAGGCGAGATATTACCAACACACTGCTAGAACATACCACAATGAGCCTAATGTCGCCGCTACTTTCACTTGGTTCAAAGGGGATTCGCTTTGTCGTTACGAAATTGAATTGGCACGGTCAGCAAGAAAGAACCTGAAAGAGAAATTGCTTGCTGAATGAGTAGCCCGGAACTGAGACAGGAGTTTGTTGGATCATGTTTGGTACCTAAAGAGCAATATTCCCACAAGGAATTCACCTCATCGCAACTCAAGTCGGAGTAAGGCTTTTTCTGAGATCTTTCTGCCATGAAGCACCATGAAACTTACACCCAAACTGATCGAAGCTTGGGACGGTTCAAGGCGGTGAGCTGC